ACGTGCGATTGTTTGACTTTAGATGACGATGTTCAGGACAAAGCGAGCCAGGCACGTCTCCTGAGGTGATTTCGCGGTTTCGGCGTTTGACTCTCGGATCTCGACGAGAGCGCAGTGGTAACATTTTACTGACGTGATGGACTCAGCGCGCAAAAGCATTGACAGGGTTCATGATAGTTTTAACTTAAAAACAATCAAAGACTGTTGTGGCAAAACTGCACTGAGTAAAATTTTTTTGTTGAGAACCATTAAACTGCTTGTTTTGATTTCTGAGTTCAGTAATCTGATTGGTGCTAATCATCGACCAAATAATTGAATCAGTGAGTTTGAAAACACAACAACACGGAAAAAAAGAATTGCTCAGGAAACACCTAAAACTGCGCAGCGGGCGAAGAAGTTAGTTTAAGAAAAACCTTTGCGGTGCCAAGTACTTAGAGACTTTGTAAAGCACCACGTTGAAATCGATACACCATGTTTGATGACAGAGAATTAAGCGTTTAAAAATTACCGAGTTGGTGTGTTTTCGTTCTCACCGACTTTCAGATACTGATTTTTCATTATCTGCCCTGAAAAATGTGTATTTTTCGACCTGAATAACACTTGAATATTTATATAACTTGTCGGTGCAAGGTATACTGAACCGAAAAAAGAAAACCGCAAAATCGGATGGTCACCCGTTACCCTTGAAATGGCCAAAAATTGGTATTTCCAGTGTAATACTTCAATTTTTCCCTTTTCCAGTCGCTGTTTCGAGCACTTCCGATTGCAATTTCGAAATTTCCTTCAGCGTGCAGATGCTTCTATCCATAAGTGTTACTAACCCGTAAAAAAGTGAAAATCGAAAAAAACCCGAGTTGGTGTGCTTTCGAACTCACTGATTCAGATGTAAAGGTGACTTACTAGGTCTCCTTACAGGTCTTTATGAGCATTTTTGCAAAAATCACTGTTCAGTGAACAGTGATTTCGTGTGAACGTACGAATTAGAACAGAAAAGATTATTCCCTTTCTGTGATGGAAGAGTATTTGGTCGGCATTAACCATAATGAGTAAAAATCGTCATTTTCGTGCAATTCTTTATTACTTCATAAGAAGACTAACGATAAACTACATTCTGCCGGAAAAATTTATGAATCCATCCTTCAAACACAATACAAAATTCACAGAATGTTTTTACGCACTATACGGATTAGTTTTCTCATTTAATACAAAAAAAAAAAAGAGGATAGGAAGTTAAACAACGTGAAATGCAGTTAGGATAATTAGTTAAATTCGTCTAAAAAGTCCTCAGCAGTAGGTAAGTTCCACTTTTGCGAAACACCGAGAGGGAGTCCCTTACATTGCGGAATCATCCTACTGTTCGGCGTTCCGTGAACTACGCAAACCGATTAGCGCCTTCGGCTCTTCAGATACCACCTGCCGCGCGTATGTATCGACATGTTTGGCGTTCGGTAAACCGCGACGCTGAGAATTTGACGGGGGAGGCGACTACAGAACGGGAGCGGAAAAAGTTCGAGCTCGCAGAGTATCTCACTCGCGGTTTCCTTCTCACCCACTTTCAGGGATTTTCCTTCATGTTTTCAGAAATTGCGAAAAGCGGTAAACATATTGTAAAGTTCCCGAAACTTTGGCAGAGGCGGATCCAGCGATTTGGCGACACCGAATGTCCTCCATTTAAACCTATGTTAAATAATCGATTCTTGTCGGAGCACCTGGCGGGAGGCGCCGAAATGAGCTTGTTGCAAAATTCGGCTAATACAAAAAGAATAGTAATCTCTCGTGGAAAATGACTCAAAAATCACGTGTAAGTCGGCAATCACACAACTCGTTTGCGGTGTCTGAAAATATCCGCCTCTATGCTATTTTTTTCAAGGAGAACAAATCGACGTCATTCCATGAAATTTTTGCAGAATTTTCTTCGCACAGAGAAGAAAAATCATGGCAGTTTTAAAGAATTGCCGTTGAGTAGTTTTCCGTTTAAAAAATAAAGTATGACAGGAAGTCTGCGACGTCGCAAACCGAGTTATGTGATTGCCGACTTACACCGTCGATATATTACGCAGAATGTGAAGTTGGGAATGTAATTGAGACTTCCCCGATGCGCTAATGGTGATTTTTGCGCCATTTTCTGTACGGAGCAATCCCTCTTTTTGCTCTAGCTCAACAGACCCATTTCGAAAAGTGGTAACCAAATTGTAAAGTTCCCGAAACGTTCCTTGAACAAACCGTCCGATCCGCGTAATGAAGACGGGTGGAGGCGCCGAAATTCATTAGTCAAATGAACGCTCGATACACAGCGCCTGGAGGAGAGGAGGGATGCAACTTGCATTTCACTTGCAACTCACGCGAGTTTCCCATGAAAACAAGGACCCAGGGATCCCTCCGGCGAAACTCTTCATCCCTGCATACACACACAAAAGCAGGGAACACGGGGAGTGTTGACATCAGCGACGTGCCGCGCTTCGCGATACATCGATTGATCTGCCATTCAAACCTATCCTGCCTTGCTCAGGAAGAACGCCGTGTGAACATTCGAGCGTTGCCAAAATCCCTTGAATATAACACTGGAAAAAAAACACATTGGATTTAGAGTCCAGACTCTTGAAAACATTGACAAGAACTCTCTTGATTCAATCGGATTTTTGCTTGAATCAAAACGAAACCCGCTTAAAGTAAGAGGCTTGGTTCTTGTTTTAAGCTAGATTCTGATTTAATCGAGAGTACTTTTTCTTGTCGATGTTTTTCAGAGTCTGGACTCTAGATCCAATGTGTTTTTTTTTTCCAGTGAATATTTAATTTTGAGAGAAGTTATGAGTATTTTCCGTTGAAGTTTTCAGGAACTTAAGTTGAAATTACGAGCAAATTTATCTGAAAATTAGAGGAAAAATATTCGTAAGTTTAGCAGGAGGATCCGCGTTTTATCAAAGGCAATTCGGCAACGCAAGAGGGTTTATACGGTGTTTTCCTTGACACGGCAGTGAGGAAAAGGGTCGATGGGCAGGGTGTTCGCAACGAACACCTTTATAATCGATTCTTTACTATAGTTTCAAAAGGGGGGATATCGATAATCGATCATTCATGCCACGCCACTGGTTGACATAGTCTTCAGCCCTGTGTCCAATTGTCAATATGGCGTCAAAATGGAGGCTCAAAATGAATCGATTAATTCGATCCGTTTGCAATTGTTGATCAAATAGAGTCGTGCCGCTCTATTTTGAGTTGCAACACTCATCAATCGCATCCAGTCCCGACTTAGAGCCGCATATCGTTGAAATCGATTCATTTTGAGCTTCCATTTTGACGCCATTTTGACGAGTGGAGACAGCGCTTTAGCCGCGCAGTCGATAGCGCGACATGATGGATGCAATTTCGGCCCCGGATCCGGACGAAAGTTCAAACTTGCGGGGAAACTCCGCGGTATCCGGGGAATTGACAGTGGCGAGGAGTGAACGATCGATTTTCGATATGTGCCCATCTGAAGCTGTGATAAAGAATCGATTATTCAGGTATGCCCTGTTTTCCATAGGTTTAAAGAAGAGATCAATCGATATATCGCAAAGCACGCCACGCGACTGAAGTTAAGCAGTCCGGGAGTTCGTCCCGCACGGAATCGGAGATTTGATCTGCACTTTTGAAAGCTCCATTCGTGGAGTCTGTATGTTGTCACGGGGTATTATGCTATCATCGGGGGATTATTTCCACTTGAATTCTAACCGCGCAGAGGAAAAAATGGATGCTCTGTGGGTTTCCATATGTTGGCCTATTTATTTTGATATTGCAATTATTTTCGGGGTCATTTATGAACTTTTCCGCTGGGATTATATTCCGATGATTTCTTTTCATGCTGGGTTGCCACATATTGTAGAAAATGAAATTGCCTGACGATTATATTATACTAAGGGGCTCCGCCCCCTGGCCGCTACGCGGCCCACCCCCGGGGCGCTTCGCGGCCAGAGAAATCGTCGAAATCGTCCGGACGAAACAAATTGAAATTGCTCAAAATAAATTACACTGGAAAAAAAAAAAAACACATTGGATCTAAAGTCCAGACTCTTGAGAACATTGACAAGAAAAAGGACTCTTCATTCAATCAGATTTAAGCCTTGAATCAAAAGGAAATCCGCTCAAATTGAGAGGCTTGGTTCTTGATTTAAGCTTAGATATGATTGAATCAAGAGTGTGTTTTCGTGTCGATGTTTTTAAGAGTCTGGACTCTAGATCCAATGTGTTTTTTTTCCAGTGTAAAAATTGTGTAAAACAGTGAAAAAAAAAGTAGTGGCGTGACGTGAACTGCGATACATCGATTGTTATGCCATTTAAAACTATGGAAATGGATCGATAAACAGGGTGTTCGCAGCGGACACCTTAATGATCGATTTATTACCATAGGTTTAGATGACATAACAATCGATACATTGCAATTCACGCCACGCCACTGATAAAACAGATCCCATCGACCGTCCTACTTCCCTTCCTCACTCCGGCCATCGAGCGTCTTGAAAATAATTTTACAAGAATAGATAGGATATTATACGTTGATAAAAGCACCATTTTTGCTGGGAAAATCGAAAGCAGACGTGTAATTCTTAACATAAACCACTTTCACATAATACTTGCTACTCGACTCGGTTCGCTATTATTCTCTCTTGACTTGAATTAATGAATGTCCTTACGAATGTTGGCAGAGAAAACGTCTTGAATACCTCGTAAGTACCACGGTAGGTAAAAAAATTGAAGAGGAAAAAAAATTAAAATTGACTTTACCCTATGGTTTAAGAACAAAAAAGGGTCTATTTTCCCAGATGCACTTGAACTTATTCGGCTACCGGAGAGCAATGCAGTAAAACAACGCGAAAACCCAACATATTTTAAACGACTCCTTGCCCTAAAGCTTTGAAAGCTGCAACGATTGGCAGTTTAGATTTTGCAGTCACCGTAAATCGGTCAACTCATCACGAAGGCCCGGAAAAACAGGAAAAAAGAAGTAAGATGAAATAAATTACCTTGAGTTAAGATCTCCGCGACAGGCTAGTAGTCCAAGTCACCTTCGAACAGACCGCCGGCCTGGAACGAAAAACAAGCATTAATGAGTTTGGAATTATGTTCTCATGAGTATACGATTTTGACGCAAGTCATCCAAACTTTCAGTTGAACTGAATTTTGCAATTTGGAACTATAAATTCGGGCCTGGTTTAAAAACAACGTATGTGCCATTAGTTTCCCTATGCACATAAGAGTTTTTCCAGATGAGCCAGAATTTATAGGTCCAAATTGCAAAATGCAGTCCAGTTAAACCTTGCGAAAGTCATTTGACAACTTGAGGACAGCAATTATTATTCTATTGCTTCTGATTAAATCCTATGTACGTAATGAAATGCAAATGTATTCTTTGACTTTCTAACAGAAATCGAGTTATTGCCATTTTGAAATGCTGACAATGAGATATTGAGCTGTCCGGCGATGAAAGGAAACTCCAATTGGATTGCATTTTGCAAAAAGGAACCAGGAGCATTGCAATGTTGCTAAGATTATGCAGCTTCTTTTGTCTCGGAAGGAAAACCTGATTATCTTAAAACGGGTTTTGCTTATATTGCTAAAAACTGTAAGTTTAGGACAAAAACTACCGAGTAAATTTCATACTTTTTCAGGCATTCAATAGTTATATTGCTATGGATGAAGTTGCACAATCTTAGCGACATTGTAATGCTCCTGGTTCCTTTCTGCAAAATGCAATCCAATTATTATATAGGTAACTCGTTGCGTATTACGATTTGATAACACATTGGGGAACATATACTGCGTTTTACCGAGCAGGGGATTTAACTTCCGTAACTCCTGTGCTTCTGTAACTTCTTCTTTTCGTTTTGTGTTGAAATTTTCAGCTTTATGCTGATTTTTAACGCACGATGGCTTTCGAATTGCAGAAACTGCCACATTAACGTTTGGTATGCGATTTGACTCACGCAGACCATTGAGTTTTCATGAGCAGGAGGGTTCAATTCATGCGTCAAGAAACATAGAATGTCTTGGTTAGAAGTTGATTTCAGTAATTTTCGTTGCGCGAATATTGTGTTCTACATGCAATTTTGGTTAAGAAACATGCACTGGAAAAAAAAAAAAAAAAAAAAAAAAAAAAAAAAAAAANGACAAGAAAAAGTACTCTTGATTCAATCAGAATCTAGCTTAAATCAAGAACCAAGCCTCTTAATTTAAGCGGATTTCGTTTTGATTCAAGCAGAAATCCGATTGAATCAAGAGTATTTTTTCTTGTCAATGTTTTCAAGAGTCTGGACTCTAGATTCAATGTGTTTTTTTTTCCAGTGATGTATCAGAATGCTCAATTTTGTGTTTCGTCAAACGCCAAAACCTGAAGACGAGAAAATAGATCCCATTCGATGGCGGATCGATGCATCGTTCGGTTCAAAAGAGAACATAACCTTAAGGTGATTCGATGGACGCCATATTTTGTGTCAGAGCGGCATGCGATATATCGCATCAATTGGTTCCATTTTTTCAGCTACTCGTCATTTTTCTCCAATTTTGAGATCGCAATTCTGTTGTCAGGGGACTAAAGCACTCACTTACCAATTTTAACAAAGAAATTCAACGTTATGAAGGCGTGATTTTTTTAGAGAGAAAATATCGCATTCGAGTGCAGATTCGATATCAGTATCGAATGCGATGTTTTCTCCCTAAAAAAAACCACGCCTCTATTACGTTGAATTTCTTCGTTAAAATTGGTAAGTGAGTGCCAGTGCTTTAGTCTCCTGACAACAGAACTGCGATCTCAAAATTGGAGAAAAATAACGAGTAGCTGAAAAAAATGTAACCAATTGATGCGATATATCGCATGCCGTTCTGACACAAAATATGGCGTCCATCGAATCACCCTAAACAAAAATATTAGTTTTTAAGAAGGAAAAGCTGAAAATGAGAAAATTCCTCCTAATTTCACTTTTCATTGCCATTTTATACTGACAAGAATAAAAGTTGGGATTCAGGCATCCTGGTAAGGGTGATTTCACGATAAGAGAAATAGTCGTGTCGCCGTGGGTTATGAACGACATAGGGCAAAACACTTAAAAACCAAAGGAATAAATCAATAGGAATGATGTCCCTGAACCTATCCATGCTAAAAAATATGATAAATTATTATTATATTTAATAATATGAGACTTTAAATGCCGAAAATGTCCGGTCGGTTACGCGTCGCCAACCCCGATTTTGAAGCAAAAGAGCAATTTGCGATGACAAATCAGTACTGATCATGAATTCTTTGGCAATATTTGCTGAAAAGAGACTCTAATGTTCAAGAAAATTGCCAGTTTGAACTGAAATGTTTATTATTGAGCGAGAAAAGTCATTAGAAAGAGGTGTCGCCACATTTGGCAACACATTTTCAAAGTTGTATTAAGTGCAGTGTTTCTCTCGCCAGATGGAGTCAGGAGTTTCAAAACTGCCATCAAATTGTTCGCTGAAGTCTTCTCAACAAAACCATTATTGATAAGTCAGTTTTTTTACAATGAAAACTTTAATTATTATGAAAACCAGTGATTTTTAGGTGTGTAGCACTATTTCCTCACTACGCAAAAACCTCAATTTAATATTATTAAACTAAAAGGAAGTCTTTAAAGTTTAGAAAACTTTTAAGGCAGCATTAATTCTACCTCATAACTCAAGAATTGCCAAGTTTCATCTTTTGTATCATCTTTAATCTCACATTTTCAAGTGTCGGTTACGCTGTGTCTGTTACGTAACCGACACAATTTGGCAGGGCCGCCATGTTTGCGTGGACCTCCAGCAGTCCCGCGGGAAGCGCTGATACCTGATTCAATGGCTTGTTTACCAATCACTTTAACTTTGCACTGAATCAAAATAGAGCGTGCAAAGACTGGAAAAGGGAAGTTTAATACCTTTAAAATGAGGTAATGAAATCCTGTTAAAATTGGTGCACTTTTATTTTTAAGGTATTTCACATTTTAACTATTCCTGTTATCGTGAAATCACCCGTAAGAAGGCGATGACGTAAGTAGTAACAGATATTTTTCTTAACAGACTAATTTTAAGGACATGTATTTTTGAGGAAAATTATGCATATTTGTCCGTGAAAGAGGTTGTTCCATCCCCCATTAGATTTGGCCCCCTATCAAATATGATCCATCTTTTCAGGAGTGATAGAGTAGCATGCGAGACGTTCAAATATGGCGGTCATTTTGACTTAGGCCCCCCCAGAGAGGGGGGGCGGGGGGTCAAAGTCAAAACCTTCAACTGCCTATAACTTTTGAGCGAAAAATCGGATTGAGTTGAACTTTTTTTTAAATGAAAGATCTCAAAAAGATCTATCTGCTGATACCAGAAAAATTGAAAAAAAGTTAAATTTAATGCAAATTTTTAGCAATTTTTCAATTTTTTAGGGGACAAAATTTTCAATTTTGTCGTGTTTCGGCACCGCGCAATGACTCTACTAAAACAAAAACCAGTTTTTTAGATTCTACACTTAATTTCCTACAAGATGCAAAAAACCGCATCTTGGGGAAACGTTTAGATCGCGAGCTATGGCTCGTCAAAGTTAGCCCCGCGCTGAGCGCGCGCGCCCTGCGCTGTTCGCATATCCTCTGCGCGTCTGCCACCGATCCTGTTGCCCCTCCTCCCCCTTCCTAAATGCAAATTAACATTCTACTACCCAGCTTTCGTATATATCTGCGTTATAGGTACGTGAAAATTTCAGCAAGTTCGTGATTTCCAGTGGAATTGATGCTTTATTTCCCCCCCCCCCCCCAACCCGGCCACTGGCACTGAAGTGTGCCCCTGCCAACAACGAAATCATTTTATATTTCTCAAAGCTATGTGGAGAAAAATCGTGCGAAATATTTTTTAATTCCTCAGCAGCCTATTATGAATACCCATAATAATGTCGGCCTCTCATGAATGGTAAACGCTCAATACACCGAAAAGTGGTTGGGAGGTGGGATAAAAAATTACCTCAATTCGATCTCGTAGTCACAGGGTGCTACATCAGCAAAAACATGAAACAAGAAAATTTATATATTTCTTTTTTGCACAATATTTGGAGCACAGTGGCCGGGTTGGGGGGGGGGAGCGAAATAAAGCATCAATTCCACTGGAAATCACGAACTTGCTGAAATTTTCACGTACCTATAACGCAGATATATACGAAAGCTGGGTAGTAGAATGTTAATTTGCATTTAGGAAGGGGGAGGAGGGGCAACAGGATCGGTGGCAGACGCGCAGAGGATATGCGAACAGCGCAGGGCGCGCGCGCTCAGCGCGGGGCTAACTTTGACGAGCCATAGCTCGCGATCTAAACGTTTCCCCAAGATGCGGTTTTTTGCATCTTGTAGGAAATTAAGTGTAGAATCTAAAAAACTGGTTTTTGTTTTAGTAGAGTCATTGCGCGGTGCCGAAACACGACAAAATTGAAAATTTTGTCCCCTAAAAAATTGAAAAATTGCTAAAAATTTGCATTAAATTTAACTTTTTTTCAATTTTTCTGGTATCAGCAGATAGATCTTTTTGAGATCTTTCATTTAAAAAAAAGTTCAACTCAATCCGATTTTTCGCTCAAAAGTTATAGGCAGTTGAAGGTTTTGTCTTTGACCCCCCGCCCCCCCCTCTCTGGGGGGGCCTAAGTCAAAATGACCGCCATATTTGAACGTCTCGCATGCTACTCTATCACCCCTGAAAAGATGGATCATATTTGATAGGGGGCCAAATCTAATGGGGGATGGAACAACCTCTTTACAGATATGTTCGATCTAATTCTGAACAAAATTATCTGAAAAATTTGAAAAAAAAAATATTCAACATTTTTCCAGTTAATTCGGTTTTTAGCGAAGGAAATTTGGCAACGTCTAACGGCTTATACGGCGTTTTTCTTTAGCACGGTAGAACAGATGACTGAGTATGTGGAGACCCCCAAAAAGGTGCGATGCAACCGCGCTTGAGGGTTTTCCATTAGCGCACATTGCACATGGCGATCGCTACGCGTTGCGCTGCGCTCGAGTCGGTCCGATCGAAAATGCACATAATTTGCAGGAACGGAG